GTGGACGTCTTCGTTTGCGAGTCGGACTCCCATTCATCTCAGATAAAATTTCCAGATAACTCATGTCTGGTATGTCGGTGAGACAGGACAACAGACGAGTTGGGTTTCAAAAACGCCTTGAGAGTGATGAACCAGTCGAAAGACCTGCGGAAAATCCGGGCGAATACCTGCCCCAGTTTTTAGCAGATGAAGTATGAATGTACCTGAGCCACCAAAAATCAGACCCAGTCCTGGCTGATAGAGGATGATAAACACCAGCCTGATGGTGCTCGAAAGCCTCGACGTCCGGTCGGCCCAAACCGCAATGGCGTTGAGAACGTGCATCGCAGGGTCAAATAAAAGTCGGTCAGCGTCGATTTTGTGAGTTGATTTTGTGATTACTAAGTTTGAGGGCGCGCGTGATCTGCTGTTCTTGAGACCGCGGACGCACATATTTTACCACCTCGAAAGCCGTGATCACGCGACTCCAGGTGCGGCGTATGTGTCAATTGCAAATTTATATGCGATTCAGATGCTACACTTTCATACGTTAACTTGTCCAAAATACACAGTGTAGTTGCTCATGAAATGGCACAAATTGCAAATTTTACTATTTTTCTTTGATTTTTGCCACTGAAAAGACTTTGGATACCGGAATAGCCAACTCTGGTTTACTAGTCGTTACTAGTCGCTGGCGCGCCCAAGGTTCGGCATAGGAACCCAGTGTAACATCAAACATCTCAATTTAAACACTCCTGTCAACTGAACGACTAAGTTCACGTAAACTGGGACGGGGAAGTGCAGTCACGATGGTGGTTCATTTGCCACCCCGAACTCGGAACATCTCGTGGCACATCACTCCGGTGTGACAATAATGAGTACCTACTAAACACGGACCATCCCCGAATGGGTCATGTGAAAGAGCAATTTGGCGAACATCTGGCGCGGTTGGACGGAGGTAGTGGCTCTGGGTTACTTTATTGCGACGCTATACTGTAGATCACGACGTCAACTGACGAGAACGAACAGGTAGTGCTACCGTTGGGAAAGCGTATTACTAGGAAAATAGTCTTGACGCAACCCGACCCCGCAGGACACACGCCCAACAATGTTGCTGATGTACCTGCAGATTGTCGTTGATTCGGGTCCACTTTTTGGAATCTGAACAAAACTCTCCGGCCAGGTACAATTTTCTCTAATACCTAAGTTCCACCTTCTAGTCGTCTTGCCCAGTTACCGACTTTATCTGGGGGCAACGTCTTCTGTCGGCGCTCTTATGTCGGATATTGACAAAATCCTTTGGAACCCACGCAGTAAGGGGAAGGCTTTAGCGCAGCCAACGTTGGCTGCGTTGACTGCGCTAAAGCCTTCCCCTTACTGCGTGGGTTCGAATCCCACCGAGGCGCCGAGTTTTTCACAGTTGGGTCAATATGAATTATTCAAAATCTGCCAAAACATCAATGAAAATCCTTTGGAGCAATAACGTTGATTGCAAGCAGGTACTGAGTATAGCAGCACAATGCAGCCAATCTGCAGGTGCCTTGAACCACCCCTTCAATTAAGGTCAAATCATAATAGCAGGACAGGTCAAAAGCCCGTTGGTGGTCCACGATGACATTCACGATTGTCTTCGTACAGTGCCGTGTCAAACCCTTCTATACTGACTTGTCGTAACAGTTGCTCGTCTCTTTTTTTTAGAGGTAGCAACCTCAATCAGCACAACGCGGATGTCTGCTGCCTGTCTGAAGTTCGACTTCCTGACTTAGGCTCTCAGGAAACAGCGATCCCTAGAGTCGAATCACGCTTCACCCTGTATCACAGTGGCCCATGCAACTCTTCTAGTAGGCACGATGTGTGCTGATTGTCGTCGGGGATTGGAATGGTCGGACTGTACCTGGCGACTCTACAAACAGTCATCTTATCGGCCGCTTTGGCTTGATTCCCGATGGGAAAATAGCGAGAGATTTCTAAACGTCGCTGTTCAGAACGGACTGTTTGCCACCAACACGTGCTTCCCGCATCGCAACAAACACCTCCTGACCTGGTATTCAAGTCAAACGGCCAAACGGCCAGTCAAACTGACTACATTCTAGTCAGCTCAAGGTTCCGCAGCTGGGTCTACGATAGCAGATCGATGCGTGGTGCCGAGACTGGTAACACCCATTGGTCGGATCATTTACTCGTTAATACACGTTTGAAAGTTCACCTCTCATCCGCGCCAAAGATGCGACTTCCTAGACGCCTCGGTGTCGCAAAAATCCGGCAAACCCTGAGTAGAGAAATCCGATTCTGCTTTACGACCCGAGCCGACGGAGAAGGCGGTAACCAGTGGTCGCCACTGAAAACGTCGGTGTACGGGCAGCTGAGAAAATCCTTGGATACGCCCAACGACGCCGCAGTGATTTGATCAGCGAAAAAAATCTGCAGTTGTCTGCTCAGACGGTTCGAGTCAGGTCCCGTAATGATGATTCCTTCCGCCAACCTCGAAAGATGGCTGCAAAGTCGACCAGGGATGACCGGACGCAGTGTTGGGTTGAAATAGTGACCTCCATGGAACAGGCCTTCGACGTTGGTGGTACTCGAAAATTCTACCAACTTATCCGTCGAGTTAGTGGTATGCCCTCTACATCGAGTGACTCAGATGGCGACGTGAATGGCGGCCCTATTGTTGACAACTCAAAGTCGAGCGTTGGCGTGAGCACTTCGAGCACCATATCAACTTCAATACCCAACCCACCACACTCTTGCTCATCTCTGCAGCTGAGTTTCTTCCCTCCCCAACCTATGCAGTGTCATGCAACCCCCCTTCTGAAGGAGAAGTCGCGATGCCAGATTAAAGTTACGCAACAACAAGGCACCCGCAGAGGACGGCATACCCGCTAAAATCTACAAGGCTTTTGTCGACACTGGCGCCCTGGCTCTATGAGGTGACTGAACAAGCGTGGAGAGACGAGGTTGCCCCCGATGACGGGGACTCAGGCATCCTTGTACCTATCCTCAGGAAGGAAGACAAGATGCGAGAACTACCATGGCACAAGCCTCATCGACATTGCTGTGATCTTTGATATTGTCCTACTCAGGCGATTTCAGACTGTGCGTGACTCTAGGACGAGGCCCAACCAAAACGGTTTTCATGCTGGACGTGGATAGGCCGAGCAGGTGCACGCACTGGGGCATTTTAGAATTCTACCGTAGCTACCAGCAACCGACGGCCGTCTGCTTTGTTGACTTTGCCGCCGCACTCGATTCCGTTCATCGTGAGTCCCTGTGGCGGATGATGGCACCAGATAGTGCACCGCCAAGATCAAGGCCTATTATCGCTCCACAACCGCGTGAGGCCTGGTCCACAACAATCTTTCCCAATCGTTTGGTATTCAATCTGGCGTTCGACAGGGTAGTATCCTGTCGTCCCTTCCGTTCAGATGCGCCATTGACTGGATTCTCGAGAAGGCCCTACACGGAGGTGCGTTGAGTTTGTGTCCGGACACCGACTGGCTGACCTCGATCATACCGATGATATTGCTTTGCTTCAAGTTCTGGTGATCTGCAAACTATGGTGTCACGGGTGGACGGGTTGGCCAAATCGGTGGGTTTATCCATAAACGCTGGAATGACTAAAGCGCTTTCAGGCTGCAGGCCTGACCAAGGGAAGGCACCTCTCAGGATTTATGGCTGTCCACTTGAAGAAGTAGACAGTTTTAAATACCTCGGGGCGAGGCTGCTGCCCAATGGACAGAGTAAGGACGACATTGTCTCCCGCATTGGTGCTTCCCGCCGGGTTTTCGCAAACCTTAAAAAATGTTTATGGATCCGACGCGACATTTCCATCGCCACTGAGATTCGCGTGTATCGAGCATCCGTCCGGTCTGTCCTTCTCTATGGCTGTGAATGCTGGGCTGTACGCGTGGAGGGCGAGCGAAAACTGGAGGTACTTGACCACCACTGCTTGAGGACCATCCTTCGAGTGAAGTACACCGATTTCGTCCCAAATTAAACAGTCCGCACTCGCTGCGACAACACTGCAAGGGTATCTCAGGCCATCCGAGAAAGACGACTAAGGTGGTTTGGACACGTTCTTCGTCGTCCACCTCAGGTGCCCACTCATACTGCCCTCGATCCGGCACCGTTACCCCATTGGAGGCGTCGAAGAGGGAGTGAACACAGAACCGGGCTCGACAGTTCGTCAAGACATGGTGATGGGTCTTGGACCTTCGGTATTTGGTCTCTGTCGTTGGCCCAAAGGACGGGTTGAACTGTCCAGATCTGCTGCCGTGGATCGTCACGCGTGGAGAGGTACAGTTCGGGACATCATCGGGGCCAGTTAGATCAGGCATCGCAGCCGTACCAAGTACAAGATATTTTAAGAAAGTAACCGTTTGCACTTTGGAAAATACCACCAAACCCACGGTGGATGCTGAGGCGGCTGTTAGGTCAAGGCGACTGCAAAGTCACAATCAATCACTGTCCTTTTTGCACGGAGTCCCGTTTCGGGAAAAGGCAGCGCTGAGACCTATGACTCCCGCCACAAGTATTTGTAGTCGAGTCACAGAACTCGGCAATTGTGATAAGCCACACATCCAAGAGTTGTTCGTGTAAGGAACTACCAGTTACTGGAAACCTATTGTACTATTCCCTAACTGGGGACATATTGGGGAATTTCAACAGAGATTTCGTGACCTCTGGCACAGCGTGCACAGTAATTGTGTAAATTTCTAAACATCAGGACTTCGTGCGAGTCAAGCATACAATGCCCCCTGAACTAAGGATATATGAGTGCAGCCAGTATATGTTGTTGCGACTTATTATTAAAAATGAGATAAGGATGAGGTGAAGGCGCGCAGTGCGAATAGTTCAGTATTTAATCTTCCAAAGACCCGGCACGTATACTGCTTAAAAGTAAGAAGATTTAAAACAAAAGATAAAAATATGTGCACTTCTGCGGACCAAACTACAGTGGAATAAAGTCCTGAGACTAGGCACAAATCCAATCAGAAAGCATATGTGCGGGAGATTATACGGGACTAATAGATGTTGTAGCTTCTCCTGCACTCTTTGAGTGCCTCCGCAAATCCACTACAGAGGTTGATATCCGACTGGTTCACCGAACAGCGAACGAGCTCATCGATTTGATACTGGCAAGGATTTTGTGCTGGGTTGGCAGCTGGCTGCTGGGCGTAAACGGTTTCTGGCTGTGAACCGCTGCTGCCGGTTAGAGCATGTCCCACAGCGTGACCGACGGCAGACCCCACTGCCACACCTCCTGCTGTAGCAGCCATCTGCTTAAAGAGACTCGGCTGCTGTGGCTGCATTGGAGCAGGCTGAGGCGGCGGCGGTGGCGGTGGAGACCGCATCGGCATAGGACGCGCAGCCGGACGACTGGGTGACCTAAAACACAGTCAAAAATATCCTCTGCTAATGAGCGGTGAATGCAATCAAGTATGACATAGGACTACACGATAATGTGGGGGGGGGGGGGTATTGCGTTCAGTGGGTAGCAACTCGCTGGAAACGAGGAGAAAGGCATTTTTACCTAGCTGGGAATTAAGCTTAAGGGCCTGAAGCAGACATACCTCTCTCAACGGCGTAGGCAAAACGGTAAACGATGTGAATCATTCAGTTCAACGGCACAGACAACTTTCGATCGAAATTGGGCTCTATATCCACAAGGGCTAGGTCTTAGGGCCCGACGTCTGCTGAGCATCTACATAAAAGTCATCGTTACAACCCTGACGAACCTTATGACGCCCGCACCCCATGACAAAGTAAATAAGGAGCTGGAAAAATGTCTGTTCTTTGCGTAACATGAATGCAGGGATGAGTCAAAACTGCGCAGTAGTAGTCTCAGGCTATGCTCCAACGCTTCACGCGGATGATTGGAATGACGGTGGGAGACTTTCGTAGCCTCATACAATCAATGTATTTAAGATAAACTGGATTAGAGAGGCGATCTTGAAACTGGAACGGGTGAATCATAAAAGCAGACCCGATCGCACTCTACATCTCTGGAGGTCTGCCATCGCTAGTTGATGCAACGCTGGCAGACATCACCAAATCCAAGGGGATGTATCGACACTAGATCCCGGAAAAAAAAACGCTGGATAGTCTGACGTCCAAATGCCGAGAGATACGCAAGGCAACTACAGTCCCATAAGCAAACACTTCGAAGGGGTGGTTTACAACCGTTAGCAATGAAAATGGAGGAAAGCAGCGCATAGCATACACCACATGTAGGTGGTCGTCCCACATGGTTTGCGACTATGCACAGTCTTGGTTACGCGGTCTTAATTGAGACGTGGTGAAAGTCAGTCGATGATGCCAGCAGGGGAAGAGGAGGCTGGTAAGAGCTCGACAAGGTTTCCCAGGATATAGCAATGGTTTTTCGGTCTCCAATACTTGGCCTTCATAAGCGGAGAATGGAGTACGACAGACCTGAAAAGGTGCTATACGGAGTCAGGTAGACCAGGCAGAAATGCGAGCGTATCAAGTACAATTTATCGAAATATCTTAATTGTCGGTTTCTTAAAGACACCTGGAAGTGACACCCCCAGTAAGCGGTAAGGTCCCAAGTCTAAGGGAGTGTCTGACAGCTCCAGAGTGCTTTTCCGAGGTCGTTGTTAAACAGCCCGGGCTTCTGCAGGTAAGATTTAAGTTATAGAGCATAGTTCATCCGCTGAAATTCCATACGTCCGATCTTGTTTGCTGGACCGAATGACGGGACATGAGATACAGAAAGGCAACAGGACACGAACGTCCAAATTTTGAACAGAGCCACACCTCACGGTATCGTCCTGTCGGCCAAAAAAGAACCAAAGTAGGTGGAATAATGAACCGCTTTCAAGACAGCACGTGGCGAACACAGGTTGTACACGAGGCTTTATTTACTATCGCTATCGTTCTGTCGGTAATGTAGAAAAGCAAACTACAAGCCTGATAGCCTCAAATCTCTCGCGACAGTCGAAAGGTAGGAAGAACTGATCTCTTATGGATGCCCACAGTTACCAGCATTCACTCTTACGAAAGCTTTTAGTAACGTAGTGAATAGGACGACAGGCGTTGACTGTGACTCCTAGGATTTATAGGCAGGACGGTGTTGCTGGACAAGGATCTTTGTCCTGCGTAGGACGCCAATTGCAAAGAGGAACGGTTAGGTGAGTTATTCCTGCGGGGACTGTTGACAAGAGTCGGCTAATCATTGAACTAGCCGCAGACAAACCATTGGGGCTGGCCTTGGACGAGTGTGGTGTTACCAGTGTCAAAGGGCAAACAGCTGTTTGCCAATAAGACTTTTTTGAGAAGGATATCCGAGAATTTCAAACGGGCTCTGACGCTAATATACGCACAAAAGTTAATCATAGTAAGAAACAATAAAGGCTACTATCAGGAAATATGACACACGGAGGAGACCCACCCTCGACGACCCATTGCGAATAACTTGCAAAAGCCGCGCTGGCTTGGACGGATTCTGGCGAATTAAAACAGCGAGACGGACAATGGTGTTAGTCTTTAGAGCTATCGGCTCGTAATGAAAATCGTTGTGCCTCATACAAGGTGTCGCATTTTTGGGAACCCATTATTTCCTTAGTATTTTGCTGTCTACGTAGCGAGTGTTCTCTGTAGGTATACGAAAGCTAGCTTTCTGGCATTCCCGGTTTTAAAAATAGTGATGATAATAAGGATGTTGGTAATGGCCGCGATCATTATCTTCCCATCTAGTCTCAACTTAATTGTGTTACCAAAAAATCACATATTACCTGAATAAACACAGAAAACGTCGTCTGACAACAGTGGTTACATAGTTTATACATGGATGCCAAAATTTTCCCGAACTTCGGGGCCTGCTAGCGACGGTTTGTGTCCTTATCTTCCCTTGATAAGAAAAGTCTGTTTGGTAGGTTCGGTACCCAAACACATTCATGTCCGGTACGAATTCAGAATGCGCATAACAATCCTTCTAAATTGACAATAATTATGGAGTCCTATGACATGGTGTTCCGAATAGCGATCCTCTTAACAAAACCTGCATGCGTTTCAAAGGGGCTGGGCATGCGAAAACATTCCTTTCGCGAATCGCTTTTTAACCTTATTAGATTTTGGTTACTTTCTGTGCTCGATAGTCCTCCATGGACGTTTTCTTCAATAGGTGAATGTTCCTAGAGTAGATCATATCCAGGTACCTGACACCTCCTCAAGACGCGAATTCATATTTAAGTCTAGCACGTAGTATAATGTAGACCAAAGGGGAATAGCTCTCCTATTAAGCGTGATAAAATCACTGATTCCCTTGGAAGAGACCGGAAAATGTGACTGAACTCTAGGGATTAGTGCTGCATATCGAGAAATGAGCGGTGCAGTTCTCCTCCTTCAAGCCAAACACCCAATGTGTTGTGTTCGGCAACACATGGGCTGAACTTCAGCTGAACTTCACCTCCATACCGCAGCAACTAGCGATAGATGTTGTGGACCAACTACTGGCAGGGCGTTATGAGGAGAGAGACAAATCCCTGAAGTCTGAGCATCTGCTCGAGCTTCTGTGATGCTGTCTAAAGACCTATTTCACCTTTGGTAGACAGATGTACGAACAAATAAAAGGCACTCCTATGGGCTCCCCTATATCAGGCCTAATCGCCGAAGTAGTTCTTCAACGGGTAGAACACTTCGTGTTCGCCAAATATCAACCTAAGTTCTGGGCCCGCTATGTCGATGACACCTTCGCCGTTGTCAAAACAACCGACAATGGACACCTAAAGGAACTACTGAACTCGGTTGACCCGGATATCCAATTTACGATGGAAGCAGAAACAAACAACCAACTGCCTTTCCTTGACGTACTTGTGCGCCGGTGTACCACTGGACAGCTGCAAACTACAGTATTCCGAAAATCCACCAACACGCGACAGATCCTACACTTCAACAGCAACCATCCTCTGTCTCACAAATGTAGTTGTGTCCTCACTCTATTCCAAAGAGTCGAAACACACTGCAGCACGCCAGAAGATAAAAGGGCCGAACGATTGTACCTTGTGAACCTATTTGCAGCCAATGGTTATCCCAGACATTTCATTGAGAGAAGCAGACGTCGGACGCCCAGACGACGGCCAAATGAGCAGCAACCCGAAGTCTGGAGGGCCATTTCTTACGTTAAAGGGGTCTCTGAAGCGGTCTCGCGACTGTTACAACCCACCAGAGTAGGCATAGCCCATCGACCCCAAGCAACAATTCGACGTCACCTGATGCAACCCAAGGACCAGTTGCCACCCGCTGGAACCTCAGCAGTAATCTACAAAATAAATTGCAATGAGGGCGACTGCAACTACGTGGGCGAAACCGGGCGGAAATTGCAGACTCGCCTACAAGAGCACAAATCGGCTACTGGAAGGTTAGACCCTAATTCTCAACTAGCAACACACGTTGGAGAAACAGGGCATACTTTCGATCTCCAGCGAGCTACCATCTTAGGCCGAGGCAACACAAAAGCAGAACGGCTAACTCTCGAGGCGTGGTTCTCCGTTGCCCACTCTATCAACAGGCATCTAGACCTTCCTGCAGTTTACGAAGTCCTACGTCATCACAATCGTAAAGCTCAGGACCAAACAACCACACCGGACTTACGGAGGCCCTACGGAGATAGCCTGACGCTGAGTCTCCTCGGTGAGGAAGAACAAGGACCGCCAGACCGACCGCCCAGCGGAGATTCACTCAGCTCCCCTCGACGGAGTGGTGACTCACAAAGCAAACAGGCAAAACGCCTGTCCACCATCTCCCGAGAGGCTAAGACAGCGAGAGGAGATAAAAATCGATCAGCATAAGGCAGATCAACACAAGATGCCACTTTAAATTAAAGTTCTGATCTATTAAGTGCATTTTACGCTTTGACAATGAAGAGCCGACCCAGCTCTTTGAACCGTTAGCAGTTAAATAAATCTGTTCCGGAGAGCCTATTTTCTTCTTCAGCATGTGTGTTCAAAATCCAAAATATGACTGAGGCAAAACAATACAACGTTTACGGTATGTCCTGTCCGCTTACTCGGGCTCACGCCCGTACTCTGTTCTATCTGTTCGTCTTTATTACCTTTTCACCCACACCACCCTCTGAAGTTTGTTTCTGGATATTTTCATGTCCTTTTATCTAACCGTTCTCTATACATTAATACCTTGATGTGCAGTTGTACTCAGGTAAAGATATACGCATGGTTGTGCATGTATAGGCACACCTTTGCCAGCTATTTAGCATGCATTTAGCACAAGGATTATACGCGAGCCAAAGACGTCTTTGACATGCGTGTATTCCTTGTGCTAAATGCATGCTAAATAGCTGGCAAAGGTGTGCTTGTACATGTACAACCATGCCTATCTCTTTACCTAAGTACAGCTGCACATCAATGTATTAACGTATACTGTAATGTACTGTACAGTTACGGAAGTGGAATGAGCATCAGTGCCAGGCTGTCACAATGAGTTCGTTTCACGCTAGAAAAGTAGTAATAAAGGCATACTAAACCCTCGCAGATGGCTTCAGTGTACGTGCATAAAATGAATGAGAAGTGAGGCAACTAACTGCCGTTACATGATTCTGTCTCTGGTGATGGACTTGTGTGTGAATCCAAAGCCTCCGACGAATACGATTCGCATTCCATTGAGCATGCCTCCTTTTTCAAAAGGAGCATTTTTCGTTATTTCTATGGTTACATGAAATCTGTGAAAACGTTGAAGGTGAACAGTACGACGCAGACGGGTGTAAGTGGTTTTTCTGCAATAAGCAGCTGGTCTCTTCAGGGAATGCAGATGTATACATCGCTGATCGGTCACTGTGTTTAAGGATGCCTTAATAATACCCCATCCACTCCTTTCAGGTCCTCCAGCGTGGCCCCACCCAACGTCCCATTGGCAGAAAATATTTATGGAGTATTGGTGGTATTTGTAAAATACTAAGCGTACTTTTCCCGTAATCCAAAGCGTCCGTTCGCATTGAAGTGGCATTAAAAAGTTCTTACTGTACATTCCGCACAATCATTTTGACGAGGTAGCAGACCGTATCTTATATGGGTATTTTCATGGATTACACCTTTGAATGCAAATTTAGCAGTCTAAACTGATGTCTTGCGCTTGCTGTGTGAGCAAAGAATACTTGCGCGGTCCTCAAGGTCCTTCGAGTTCTGCAGGATGTCCGCGAGACATCTTGGGACCATATAGGTTGACACCCGTGGGCTGGTGGCAGACCGATACGCGATGTTAACTGTCTATTGAAATATTTCGAGTTTTCGACAAACACAAAGAAGATGCAAGGATCTGGAAGTCTATTTACCAGTGAAATATTTCCCTTGATGGAGTCAAAAACGACCATCACTGGCTGACAGCATTCGTTTCAGTTCGCCAATAATCGAAGCATTGTCTGTGGCGGTAAAATAAGATGACCCACACCATGGGCCCCCGGAACTGCCGACACAACAGGTAGGTGCAAAAATATGTGTAAACACTGTGAGCACTAGCACTAAAACAGACAACGCCGAAGCCGGTCGTATAGAAGGTGAAGATTGGCTTCTCTGGCTGCAAAGTGAGTACGATGGACGTACACGCCAGGTCTGTAAAATACAAAAAGAAATATAAGTTTGATCGTGCGCCCCTCGGTTGTTGCAAGGAGGACAACCGTCATGCAAAAGAGTGTATAGATTCTCAATTCGCGTTCTATTGGCTAAACAGACACCCAAAACAAATGAAGTCAAAGTGCGGTCGGAATGAATGATTTCATTTTTGGTTTTTTTCCTGTGTTCAAAGGAGATTGACAGTGCCCAAGGGGCGCTATAATAAACCAATTATATTCTATGTCGTCGAACATGAAACTGCGGCCCCTTCGAGCATTTTTTACGATTTACCAGTCATTTACCAAAGTTGTCGCGAAGCAGACATCTTTACCAGCCCACACCACCTCTTACCAAATGATAAAAGACAAGAATGATATGATACGGCCTGGGTCATGGTCAAGGCGTGCAGCCCAATGTCGAAGAAAAGTGAAGCTTTGCCTTTATCTCGGTCTATTGGAACTTGAAAATATGGCCGGGTCCCGTCAAATGAGACGCCACCTGAGAGCTAGCTTCTCCGCGCCTCACTGCTGTTGCGTGCTCGCCAGTTCGCATACGGAGTAATCTCCCAGTTTCTCCAACGTAGGTGCTTTGTCCGCAACTGCACCACATCCGATAAGCGGATACTGAAGTTTCCTGTCGTGGCAGTGGGTCTATCGGCTTCATGACTCGGCGCCTGATGGTTGCTTCCGGCCTATGTGCAACCTCAACTCCAAGTGGAGTGAAAAGACGACTGACAGCTTCCGAGACGTTCTTCACGTACGGAAAAGCCCGTCAACATTTGGGGCCGGTTGAATTTGGTCTCTAGTGTCGTTTTCGTATGCACTGGTTGACAAAGTTGAGCGAATAGCCATTGGCCCTCATTACCCGTCGAAGATATTGTAATTCAGCAACCTTGTCTTCCATTTCACTGCAGTGCGTCTCAACGCGCTGGTATAGCGCCCTTACGTAACTAAATTTGTGACTGATCGGGTGGTTACTATTTAAGTTCAGTATTTGCGTCGTATTTGTCGCCTCCCTGAACACTTGGGTTTTTGGGCCACCACAAGCTTTGCGGCAGAAGAAGACATGCAGGATGGCCAGCTGTTTGCTCTCCTCCTCCTCCTCCTACATCGTGAATTGAATGTCCGGGAAGACGACGTTGAGACGTTCTTTCAGTGTCCGCGCCTGATCCCGTACGATGACGATGAAGGTATTATCCACCTACCGAACCCATAATTTCGGTCTGTAATGTCGAAAAACCAACGACTCCAACCGTTGTCGGACCACCTCGGCTATGAGTCCCGAAATCAGCGAACCGGTTGGCGCGCCCTTCACCTGCTTGTAGACTGTTCCGTCAAACGTAAAGAACGTCTTGAGACAGAACTTCAGGAGTTGGATGATTTGGACGTGTCCGAGGCGATTCCTCGTTTTGTCCTATTTCTCTCGTATGAATAGTTCGATGATCTCGAATGTCAGGTTTTGTGGGATAGAAGTAAAAAGTGCCGTGACACCGAAGGATACCATGACGTCGCTTGGCAGGAGAAATACTCCATTAAATTTCTCAAAGTATTGTGTTGGTGAGCTGACTGTGGTGTTCGAATCGGAGGTTAGAAATTTGAGACGTCGAAACAGTCACTTTTCCAGTTCGTGCCTTTTATCGATACGATTTTCCGGAGAGGAGTTCCCTCTTTGTGCACTTTTGGAAGGCAGTAGAATCGAGCTAGGTCCGTTTCTTGCGCTCTCGCATGCGTCGGTCGATCGGAGGTATTTCACCTGAGTTCTCTATTGTCAACAGCGTTGCGTTGATCTTGCGTGCCAGCGGTTTTATGAGGTTGGATTCGCATGAGACATAGGACTGACGATCCCCAACAAGCGTTTGGTTTTCTGAATCGAGGCTGTCCTGTCCAAAACGACTGTGGAACGCACCTTGTCCGCAAGCACGATACCGAGATCATTGTTGACCCTGAGTCCCTTTAGTGCGTCACGCTCGACATTGGAAAACACTCTGCGCGGTGTAGGCGCCATGAGGTGGGATGACAATTGACGTTGAATAAGGTTCTTCATTTCATCTGTCACTTCCGTCTGCTTAAGTATTGACTCCACTGCTGCAATCATCATGGCAGGTTTGTCATCGGCTGTGTTAAATGAGGTCTCATGCCTTAACATCTACATTTTTTCCTCGATCAGTTCTTTGACGATAGGTTGTGCACCAGTTTTTCGTTCTTGGATGACGATGGACTGGACAGTTTACGGGATTTGCTCTATAGTGCTGCTTCGTGTGCCGCTCTATATTCATGGTTTTGTTCGGCCACCCTCTGCTGAAGTAGTTTTGCACCATTCTCGCTATGAACTCTGATTTTACTTCAGACTCTGATGTTCGTCCACTACCCAGATATTATGTAAATGATACATGGGCAACAGCTTCCGTAGCCAATTCCGAAATCTCTCCTCTAGGCTATACTTTCATTCGAAGTAATCATAAAGGCAGATGTGGTGGGGAAAGCTGCATCAATTTAAAGCAAACACTTGCATTTCCGCCGCGGAAACTCCCGCATTTATCCGCGGCTAAAGGCAGCTGTTGGTTTCAAATTGCTTTAAAAAATAAGTTCTCTTTTCTCGTTGGCTGTGTCTATCGCTCGCCTAACGCCAGTGAAAATTTTGATCGTTGTCACTCACCGGCATTTCCTGCTGCGTCCGGGTTAAACTCAAAGTACAAGTTGATGGCGGGTTACTTTTATGTTGAAGAAGGAGACACGACCGCCGGGACAAGAGCTTTATTAGCTTGACGTTTCGGATTCCTACTCGAATCCATCATCGGAGACAAAAAAGCAGAAACAGGTGGTTGTTGCACAAGGGGCTGCGTTATTTATAGGATGCAGTAGCCATGCCACCGCATACCTATGAACATTTACGGCATGGCTACTGCATCCTATAAATACCGCAGCCCCTTGTGCAACAACCACCCGTTTCTGCTTTTTTGTCTCTGATGATGGATTCGAGTAGGAATCCGAAACGTCAGGCTAATAAAGCTCTTGTTCCGGCGATCGTGTCCCCTTCTTCAAGACTACTTCCTGGGACTCGTCTCTCCGCTTCTATTGGTTACTTTAAAGTTACTGAAGTCCACTGGCCTCCACCTTCCGGCCCCAAAAGTTCAAAGTCTAACTTGAGGCTGTGGGTGTTGGCATGGGGAGTCGGGTTGTCGATTTTCCTACCGAAGTATTAAGAATAATTAACCTTATTCTCAGTAG